TTACTTCACCACCCCCCACCCCCTTCCCAGTTTCGTCTTAATTAATTTTTATTATTGTTCATTTAATTTAGTTATCGAGAAATTTTTCAAAATAAAAATTTTTAAACAGGTTTTTTTAAAGATTAGGTTGAAATGTGGTCTTCATACGGGGGTGTATGGTAAAACCAAAAACTAAATGGTGTTAGATAATGATGGTTAGTAACTAAAACTAAAAAGCTGTAAAAATGTTTTTATGTCACATTATATTGCGTCGTCATTAGTGTCGTTAGTACGTTCACGATTGCATCCATTTCAACGCAAATTGCATTTTAACAAACTCAAAGTCAGAATACTTTGAGTTTGACCTGTGGAAATTGACGAAAGACATTTGGACTCTTAGTTTATAAGAATTGGTTTATTTATCCTTATTGGCGGTTATATATGGCTATTCCCTTCCAATTGGCTTATTTATCCTTATTGGCGGTTATATATGGCTTTTCCCTTCCAGTTGGCCCTAGAAACCATCATAGGGACTATTATGAGATCCCATTGATATGAAAATACTGTAAATTGACATGAATAATACAGAAATGGAGGAGGTAAAAAAAAAAAAAATAAATTACGATGTAAAAATTCTCACCTTAATCCCAGATCTACCCTGCTGTTTCAGCAATACGTTCTCAGGCTTCATATCACAGTGAATAATTTTATTCCTAAAGCAAAAAAAAATATTTTAAAATGAGCAAATTCAATTTTTTTACAATTTTTTAATGGTTTTTATTATCAGAACTAATAAATAATGAAAAAATATTTGATGATTTTGTGGGGAAATGAATAATAATTATACAAAAAATTATTTAATTCCCATAAAAATCCTTATTTTTCCCAAATAAATAAAATTTTAATTTTACTTTAATTTTAGAATGCACCCCTGTTTGTATTTTTTAAGAAAAGTCACCTGAACAGAGTATCTAGACACTGCAGAAGGCTGTGTGCGAATTTTCTTACAAGTTGCAAACTGAATCCTGAAAAACAATAGTTTGCAACCTGAGTTATGCAAAATAATATAGAGAAGTCTGCAAAATAAATGTCCTTGTACAAAAAATTTCGTTCTTATTCATCTTCTGAATATTTAGTAGAGCAGAGATAAAATCTTTTGAATTTTGAATCGGCTCATAACGCGCCAAGTCGGTTCAACTCTAGTTCAAATTGTCGAACAAAGCTCCCCCTTGCTTTGTATATTATTACTTGATCTATTTCACTAGTATACTTTAATCTAATAGTTTACGCAGTTTAAACGATATGGCTTAGCGCTTTAACATCCAAAAGTGTTGGTCTGAGATAAAAAATTTCTCGTGGATATTTCCTTAAAAACCATTAAAAAATATGATGAAAACTATTATTATCTAGGATTCAATAATGTAACCTTCATGCTTATTTGAAAAATGCCAACAGATGGCTTATAATAAGGCCTTAAGCATACAATTATAACACCATTTGTATGAACACTACATATAATACAATGAAAATACAATTATCATATAGAATATGAAGATGGAAGATGAAGCAATTGTACACATTTTTTTACAATATTTAAATGAATTGTACACATTAAATGATAGAAATACAGGTTTCTTGTCTACTTGGTAGTTTATTTTTAATAGGAAGCTTTTGCTTTCTATAAAACTTAATTAATAAATTGTAAAAAAGGAGAAAAGAAGTTTTCAATTGGTTTGGAAATAAAAAATAGATGGAAGACACATTTATTGTTTATAAATAAAAAAATAAAAAACGAAAAATATGTTACCTTGGAATTTGTTCTTTTTAATTAGTTCGTAGAGGTTTATAGAGAGAAGCTCGAAGGTTATACACGTGTGGGATCTGAAATAATAATAACATTAATAATAATAATAATAATAATCATCACAATAATATAATAATAATTATAACACAATAATAATATTAATGATAATATAATAAAGATTAATAAAAAGTTTATGATAACGATGATGATAATTGTAAAATAATAATAATAGTAATATTAATAATTGTAAATAATAATTACGATGATGATATATATTATCATACATTCAGGATAATTCATGAATGGTTTATGCATACAATATAATATACAAAGATTAACAGATAGCAGACAGATAGACATATAGAAAGATATACAGATACATAGACAGACAGATAGATAGATTGACAGATAACTGTGCACATAGATACACAAATAGATTGATAGTCAGATAGATATACAAATAGCAAAACAGATAGGTTGACAGAGATAGCTAGAATTTTTTGGGGATGACAGATACATAGAAACATTAATAAACATAAAATTAGGTGTATATCAAGTAATCTCAACTATGATAGACTGGTGAATAGACATATAAATAGATAGATAGATAGATATATAGATAGGTAGATATATAGATAGGTAGATAGATAGCTAAATAGAAAGATATCTTGGTAGGTAGCAAGACGGAAAAATAGAAAAATAGATAGGTTGATAGATAGATGGAGACATATAGCTAAATAGATATATAGATAGGTAGATAGATAGCTAAATAGATAGATATCTAGGTAGGTAGCTAGACGGAAAAATAGAAAAATAGATAGGTAGATAGATGGAGACATATAGCTAAATAGATTTATAGAGAAATATTTAGGTAGATAGATAGATGGATAGATAGATATCTAGGTAGGTAGCTAGGCGGATAAGGAGAACGGTTATATTACCAAATAGTATGGTTGACTGGTATCCATGAAGCCGGATTGTTCAATGAGAGAGAATACAGAACAATAAAAACAAAGGTTTTTTACACCTTTCAGTTCTTTGTCTAGCTTTTCAAATTCAGCTAAGCTGTCCTTTCCATTTCTGTCCTTGACTTTTCTTTCTTTCAAAGGGAGTGTCCTTGAAATTTTACCTCTATACACTATTCACAATGGTACCCTTTGATAATGTTGAACTATTGTTTTTTTATTTCTAACTAGAAGTGCTTAATTCTGACAATTTCGTGTATTGTTTCTGCTGCAGAAATCCGCTAGTTAATTTTACACAGAACCAATAGTTAAAAGTACAAATGGTGATTCAATCAAAATTAATCTTATTTAACTGTTTTTACAGATTGTCATTTATTTTGGTAACTATTTCCTTGCGCCCCAACCCNCCCCCCCCAATACTATCCTCCTTTTATTTCGGAAATCCTTCAAATGTTACTTCTCATATTTCGTAGACACCTGTATATAGGAAGCGTGTGTATCTTTCCCCCTTTTGAAGTTGGGATTTCCCCTCAATTTCTACATTTTTCAAATCCTCGATCTTCCTTTGCATACATTGTATTGTAAAAACAGGGTGGGACAAAAAAAAGAAAGATGTCAAAATCCAATGTCGTTGTTGTAAAGTACTTTTTTTAATTCTGGGTCACTGTTTTTAAAACCCATTAAAAAAATTTTGGGACACCCTGTAATTTTGCACCTTTTCAATCCCCGCGAATTCTTACAATTTAGCGCGAAAAGATAGATGAGAAAACACAGAAGGTTGACATCTTACTAACTTAATGACCCAGACACTCGGCCTCAGGACATGCATTAAAAGAGACTGTTCGCCAAAAATAAAAGTTTTTTTTTACCAATTTCTCATTAAAAGAGCTTCGTGGCTATTTTAACTTTAATTTCCCCCTTCATTTTCGCGAATATATATCTTAAACATTTATTTATACTGACACTCATTTAGACTTATATATTTTTTGGGTTTTTATTTTCCTTTTTTGGTAAACATCCTCCTTTAATTTCTAGCATTTAACTATAGTTTTTTCTATAAATATTACGATACATATAAATAGTAATTAATTCAATTTTTTACCTTTCGGAAGAATTAAGTGAATTTTTGTGGGCTGAATTAAAAAAAGTTAGTTTATACCAAACTACAAAAATTACTTTTGAATTATTTGAACCCCCCCCCCTCCCCCCTTGGATGTGTTGTGAGAGTATAGAGGTAAAACTTAAGCCGGTAAAGCCTAGATTACCCGAGGTTTATTAGATAATATTATTCTGCCCTCTTCTTATCATAAAATATTTGGAGTTGTATTTTTTTCTTCTCTTCCCCCTCCCCCCCACACTTCCCACAAACACCACACACCCTATGAACACAGAACTTTTTCACACAAAAAAACTTTTAACAGAATATTCAGCTTTTTTAAAAATGTTGTACATTTTAGGTAAAAATTCTTTACTCTTCTTATTATACAAAAACAAAAAATTAGGAATGTTGTATTTTCTATATTTTCATGCTTTTCTAACCTTTCCCCCGAAAGACCACACCCCTTTTTCACAAAAAAAATTCTTTCGACATTTTCAAAATTTTTAATATTATCATATTATTAAAAATATCAAATGTTTTTTTCAACAAAAGCTTTCAAAGTATACTGCACAGGACACAGTTGACCAGCTTGTGTTAAACTGTGACGTATTAGGACAGCAATTAATAGCTGTTTTTTGTAAATAAACAAACTTCATTATAATCTTTGCCATTTTAATAATAGATGGACTAAGCAAGACCTCCCCATTCAAGTTAGGATAGGTTTAGACAGATAGAATAGGTTAGGTTCAGATAGATAGAATAGGTTAGGTTCAGATAGATAGAATAGGTTAGGTTTAGATATTAAAATATAAAATAAAATATAAAAATTATACAAGTTTTGCATTAAAGATTTAGATATATTTTCCTCCTGATTATTTATTTATTATATATTTGATCTGTTTATTATGTTATTGCAACCAATCAGAAAAATTGCAAAAAAGTTGCAATCGTAATGAAAACATTTACAGAGTGCACTTTGAAAGAAAATAATCAAAATAAAAGTTGTTAAATAGAATCAATCTCACAGGAATACTATTTTTGTTAAAAGTAGTTACAATGCTACTAGTTTTATGAATTAAATTAGACTTCATTCAATGTTATGAATTTACGACAAACTGTTTGCTGAGGAGAAAAAAAATATTTTCAAATTAGGAGAACTATGAAAATTTTTTTGCTCGGTCTACCAAATTTGAAAGCAATCTATGAAAAATCGATAATTCAACAAAATTTTTACAAAGACTCTCAAATTGATATATCTACAAAAATCCACCAAGACTCTCATTGCTAAATCTACCAAAATCCACCAGGACTGACTGTTAAATCTACCAAAATCCACCAGGACTAATTAATGTTAAATTCACCAAGAGTAAGACTAATTAATGTATCTACCAAAACCCTACCAAAAATCCACTAAGACTCTGATTGATAAATCTACCAAAATCCACCAGGACTCTGATTGATAAATCTACCAAAAACCACCAGGGCTCTGATTGATAAATCTACCAAAATCCACCAGGACTCTGAATGATAAATCTACCAAAATCCACCAAGACTCTGATTGATAAATCTACCGAATTTCCCCGAATTTATTGCTGAAAGGTTGCGTGGGAGCATAGTACAAAAGACTGCCCTTATAAACCCAATACAGGGGTTATCAAAAACATAAAAGTGAAAAATTCTAAAATACATTATTTAAAATTGAATAAAAATTTCAAATAAAATAAAATTGTGAAGAATATTTAACTTGAAAATATTGCGAGTATATCTCAAACATGCCAATCATAGTGATAAATGTTAGGTTCAGATAGATAGAATAAGTTAGGTTCAGATATATAGAATAGGTTAGGTTCAGATAGATAGAATAGGTTAGGTTCAGATAGATAGAATAGGTTAGGTTCAGATAGATAGAATAGATAAGGTTCAGATAGATAGAATAGGTTAGGTTCAGATAGATAGAATAGGTTAGGTTCAGATAGATAGAATAGGTTAGGTTCAGATAGATAGAATAGGTTAGGTTCAGATATATCGAATAGGTTAGGTTCAGATAGATAGAATAAGTTAGGTTCAGATAGATAGAATAGATAAGGTTCAGATAGATAGAATAGGTTAGGTTCAGATACATAGAATTAATAATGTTGAGATAGGCACTGTAAACTAGCCAGGAGGAGAAGGTCGTTACTGGTCGACTTTGTGACCTCGTTGCTCCTCTAGTTCTGATTTTAAGAAAAAGAAAAGCCTATTCGGTTACAAATTATAAATTCAACACCTACAATTAGATGAGTTGTGATAATAAAGAAACACACAGATTTAAGTTTTTAAGATTTAAGTGGGGGGCGGAAGTGGGAGGAGGAGAGGGGGGGGGGGGGGACCTATATAGGATATTTGAAAATTTACCAACCTGAAGTTAAAGTTATCGAACATATGAATGATATTACAGGTGTTGTCCTTGTCTTGTTTCTTGAGATGGTCCAGGATTCTGATCTCTTCTTGGGCCTGGCGGTGGAACCTCTTCTCATTTCTCACCTAGATATAGGGTTATACAGTACATTGTACATAGCTTGTGTACCGTGGTTGTACGCCAGAAATATAAGAGAGTTTTCTTTTTGATGTTTTTGCAATTGCGTATATTTTTTAATAATCTTTCTTAAACTAAAATATTTCGTATCTACAAAACTTCTTGACCCCGTTCATAAGACCAAATTTCCGATATTTGATTTCATTTCTATACTCTGGTCTTAAGTTTCGGGCTCTGAGCCGGAAATTAAAAAGAGTATCGTTGAACAAAACTCCTGAGTTTCCTTTTTGAGGTCTACAAACTTGCGTAGATTTTTATTTGAGAAATTAGAAAATCAAAAAATGTAAAGAAAACACATTAAGTAAGAATTCTTAGACAAAAATATTGTTATCTACAAAACTGCCTGACCCCATTCATGAAACCAAGTTTCCGATACTGGGTTTCAGTACGATACTCTGTCTTAAGTTTCGGGGACCCTTTTTACAACTAAAGGTATTGAAGTTTTTGTGTTACATCAATGAAACTATACAATCTGAGTTTAGCTCCGGGTCCTTATGAGAACTGAAGGGGTTACATCAATTGGACTATCCCTATTCCGAGCTATTGAGCTCACACTGATTACAGTAAAAAAAATACGGTAGGATTATGTAGTACAATTGAGCTTATACAAAGGTGCAACATCAATGACAAGTAACCAAAGAATTATAAAGATAGTTATTTCAGAGTTGTACGCATTTTTAGTACTGCAGTGTACTGTATATGGGCTGTAACGTAAACACAAGACGGATGTCACAGCCTGACATGGTATCCATCTTTCACATAAAAATCAATGAAATATTCTGGTCATACGAGACTATTATCATATTATGTTATCAAAATTTTCAAATTTAAATACTTTTATCCTCCTCGGATACTGGAGCAACACTGTTGCATCTATTCTTGTTTACAAACACCGCCCAAAAGAACTGGTTTCAATATTTACACAGAGAATACGCAACAGCAAAAACTTTCCTTGCCTTATTACCTTGCAAGTAACAACTTTACGGTCTAGTTTTGAGTTTCCACACAAGTATGAGAACTTTGTTCTTTGCTGTTAAACACGCATGGAAACATAGTAAACATTGTGCTTATAATAATGTAATTAATATATAAATATTATGATGTATCCGTATCAATCTATCTATCTATCTATCCATGTATCGTGCGTAAAGAAAGCATTAAAACACATGTTGAATTGTTAATACATGATAAAACTATGATTAAGAAGATAAAAATATGATAGTGCCAGTTAAAGCTCGGAAGGAGGGGGGGGGGGGGGGGGAGTTAGGAACCTTTAAGGGACTGTCCCCAAATATTCAGGGACTTCAACATAATTGAAAAGACCTTTTAAACACTAAAATGTGTTTTCCCTATCTGAAAATTTAAATTCTAGAAAACCAGCTTTTCCAGAAAGCTAATTGTGGATTTCAAAGTTATCAATGATCATAATTTTGAAAACTTATTATTTTCAATTGTGGATTCACAATAAAATTGACTTGCGCATTTCTACTTCAGGAAACACAATAGCAATGATCAGAATTAAACACTTTTGAATCCCTATAAAAACGATACTATCTTTCACATGATTGATCTGTCAAAGGTTTCAATGTTACCGTTGTGAATCAGGCATTGCCATCTTTATATAAAGAGTCATTTCAAATTACGCTTACAGTCCCTTTAAGTGCCTTCTTCAGTCGCAACCATGTATGTCCTCATCTGTCATTTTCAGGGAAGGGAAAAGTAAAATATGGTCAGATATATCAATGTAAAACATCATAATCTAATAACAACAGAAATACATACTAGAGACATTCATAGATGTAGGGTGAGGGTGGCAGCATTCAGAGATCAGTGTGGGAGGGTGGGAAGGAATAGCCTCTGTATATATAATTTATATCATCAATTCCAGTTCTAAAAGAGTTCAACTAACTCTAAAGCAAATCATCATAAAGATGGGAGGATGGCGGGAGGGGGGCAAAAATGTTAAAAATCTCATTGATTATCTTTTTGAAATTACAATTTAGTTTTCTTAAAATGTTAAAATCTCATTGATTATCTTTTTGAAATTACAATTCAGTTTTCTTTAAAAAGTGACTTACGGATTTATGCAAGGGAGACAAAGAAGAAAAATTTACAAAATAAGTTAAAACATTAAAAGAAACAAGAAAAAACATTAGTTGAATTCTCGCAACAGATGGAAACCTTGAAACCCTTTCATTAAATATATAGTGTTCTGTGTGGGTGGAGCTAACTAGAGGCCATTAAAACTATAATTAAATACTAGGATAACAATAATCAAATAGTAGGATATTAATATATAATAAATATTAAAAAAGTTAAAGAGGAGAATTTTTTGCGTAATTTCTATTTTTCTATCTTTGATTTTTAACCAAATCCAGAAAGATACCGAAAAAAATATTTTTCCGAAAACAGACAAGTCTTGTACCGAATACAGACTAGTCTTGTACCGAATATAGACTAGACTTGTATCAAATACATTCTAGTCGTGTACCGAATACCGACTAGTCGTGCAATGATTACCGACTAGTCGTGTACCGAATACCAACTAGCAGGCGCGCAACTAGGGTGGTCAAGGCCCCCTAGCCTGATTAGGGGGGGAATGCCCCTTCCTTAGGAAGGCTTGCCCTCCCTCCCCCCCTGGGGGGGGGGCAAAGAAGTGACGAAGTCCACCATGTTTAGCAATTTAGCGATTCATGAATCCTGACCCTGAGCAAATTTAAGAGCTGTGATCGTAAAATAAAAAAAATAAAAATTGAACGTTAGTTTATTGAGCTTTTAGTTCAATCGATATACTGTAGTACAACTATTAAATTAATCCTATATGTTCACCGCAAATATTGTGTGATGTGTCATATAAAAAAAATATTTTCCATATACAATCAGGATTTTTTAATGAAAGGAATTTCTTGCCAGTGTCTGAGTACAATATTGAAATTTGATTTATGGATGAATTATGAATATATATATATATATGAAAATTGTAAATTAATTAATATTGTGATTTAATTAACCAGAATAGATTTCTTTTTTATTTCATATCAGATAACACATCTAACTTACTGAATATCCGGTTGGTAAGGTTAATTTTACACATTATAATAATAAACATTTTTCTTGCCCCCCCCCCCAACCGAAATGTTATGGGGCAAAAAAAATTTCGAGCGTCACACGAGATATTCCCCTCTTACCCCCCCCCCTCTAACAAAATTTCTAGTTGCGCGCCTGCCGACTTGTCGTATTTAGAATACCAACTAGTCATGTACCGAATACAGATTAGTCTTTCTTGTACCGAATACAGATTAGTCTTTCTTGTACCGAATACAGACTAGGGGTGTACCGAATACCGCCTAGTCTTGTACCGAATACCGCCTAGTCTTGTACCAAATACAGACTAGTCTTGTACCAAATACAGACTAGTCTTGTACCGAATACAGACTAGTCTTGTACCAAATACAGACTAGTCTTGTACCGAATACCAACTAGTCTTGTACCGAATACAAACTAGTCTTGTACCGAATACAGACTAGTCTTGTACCGAATAACACTAGTCTTGTACCGAATACAGACTAGTCTTGTACCGAATACAGACTAGTCTTGTACCGAATACAGAATAGTCTTGTTCCGAATATCAACTAGTCTTGTACCGAATACCGACCAGTCTTGTACCGATTACAGACAAGTCCTGTTTCGAATACCAACTAGTCTTGTACCGAATACAGACTAGTCTTGTACCGAATACAGACTAGTCTTGTACCGAATACCAACTAGTCTTGTACCGAATATAGACAAGTCATGTATCGAATACCGACCAGTCTTGTACCGAATACAGTCTAGTCTTGTACCGAATACAGACCAGTCTTGTACCGAATACTGACTAGGGTGTACCGAATACCGACTAGTCTTGTACCGAATACAGACTAGGGGTGTACCGAATACCGACCAGTCTTGTACCGAATACAGACTAGGGATGTACCGAATACTGACTAGGGGTGTACCGAATACCGAAAAGTCTTGTACCGAATAAAGACTAGGAGTGTACCGAAGAACATAAAAAGACTTTTTTTCATCAATTAAAAATTATCTTTTAGATTTATAGCATTTCAGTTAAACCCTATGGCTCCAGTGGTCACTTGAACTAAATATGGCATGATGAGAGTTGAGTATAATTGTATATGTATTGTATAACATTTAGGTATATAATTAGATATATGCTATTATACACATACATACTGGCGCTAGTATATATATATAATATTTAGTATATAGGTCAAATTATACAATTAGAGAAACCTTGAATTCAATAGAATAATGTAGGATCATACAATTACGCAACTAAATTTAATGGTAAGTTAAAAACTACAAAAAGGCATAAATAAATGAGAATTAGAGAAATAGCTACGTTTTTTTTAAACTTACCATTTTAAGTGCTACGTGTTGATGTGTTTTGTGATCGTAAACTTTAAGAACTTGTCCGAACGATCCTTTGCCGATCACTTTGAGGATCTCGTATCTGTAGGCAATATGATCGTGGGGTATGTGTGTGTAGGATCCCTGAAAAAAGAATAATATTTAATTATGTGTATTTAAAAAAAAGTATGCACACAAAATCAATTTTAAAAATTTATCTAAGTTAAGTGTTTTTAAACTAAATTTTGATTCAATAAAAGTATTTAATCAAACATGAAATTGACTCTTTCAAAATAAAATGTTAAGTTGAAACCTGATATTTACATTGTATTGCCCTGGTGAAAGCTATTTTATAGGGTTTACAATTTAAAAACATTTTTCCTAGATTTTTTACTAGTTCTAGATAAGATATGTCGATAAGAAAATATCAATTAGATTAAAATAAGATAGATCGCATTAAGATAAGATATGTTAGATTCAAATAAGATAGGTTTAATTAAGATAAGATATGTAAGATTGAGCTAAGATCGAATTAGATTACAATAAGATATGTTGGATTACATTGAGATAATATTGGCTTATAATAAAATAAGATATGTTGGATTAAGATAAGATAGATTAGATTATAAAAGATAAGTTAGAGTTTGATTAAAGTAAGATATGTTAGACTAAGCTAAGCTAGATCACAATAAGATAGATCGAATTAAGATAAGATAGGTTACAATAAAATAAGATATGTTGGATTATAATAAGATGATATTGGTTTATAATAAGATAAGATAGGTTAGATTATAAGATGGGTTGGAGTTAAGTTCTGATAGTATAGGTTGGATAGATTAGAAATTATTATGCTTTCATTTAACTTATATTTAACTCTTGACCTAAACTCACAATTATATATAATTAAACTTCCTAAAATCCTAAATCAAGCAAAGATAAACCCCTAACTAGTCTAAAATCCTAAATCAAACAAAGATAAACCCCTAACTAGTCTAAAATCCTAAATCAGTAAAGATAAACCCCTAACTAGTCTAAAATCCTAAATCAAACAAAGATAACCCCCTAACTAGTCTAAAATCAAACAAAGATAACCCCCTAACTAGTCTAAAATTCTAAATCAAACAAAGATAAACCCCTAACTAGTCTAAAATCCTAAATCAAACAAAGATAACCCCCTAACTAGTCTAAAATCAAACAAAGATAAACCCCTAACTATTCTAAAATCCTAAATCAAACAACGATAAACCCCTAACTAGTCTAAAATTCTAAATCAAACAAAGATAAACCCCTAACTAGTCTAAAATCCTAAATCAAACAAAGATAAACCCTTAACTAGTCTTACATCCTAAATCAAACAAAGATAAACCCCTAGCCTAAAATCCTAAATCAAACAAAGATAAACCCCTAACTAGTCTAAAATCCTAAATCAAACAAAGTCGAAAGCCCGAGCCGTAAATAAGGCTCAACAACAGCTTAGACCCGAGTCGTATTTTCTTGAATTTTTTAAATCGCCGGCTCAGCAATACTTACAATTTTCCCAAAACATGCCAACCGTTTGTTGATATGTTTTTGTATTAGTTCTCTAAAAAAATATTATTGCGAGAGAATGGGAAATTTATCAAAAAGAACAATAATATTAATAGTAATTTAGAAAATATCCTAATAAAACGCCGGGTTTGTGAAAGCGTACTGCAATGTTTACAAATATCACAAACCAAACAATTTGCTTATTTGATTTTGTATTAATCTTCGATTTCGAAATAAATGAGACATTGGGAAATTGATCAAAAAAGAATATAAGTGAACTTATTATCAGACGGTGTAATCGTCTGGGGGAGGGGGGGATACGTCCCTGAACAATTTCCCCAACACTCTGACGCAACCCAGGAAACATATGTTGAATGCCCTGTACGCAAAAACTCCCTGGTGTACGCACAAAAACATGGTTTGGTTTCACTAGAGACGTGATTTACATAAGGGCAGTTTAAAATGGGGAGAAGGGGGGGGGGTTAAAGATATATCTTTGAAACTTAGTAAATGATATTGAATTGAACATTTATTAATTAATAGAAATAAAAGGTATGACAGGTAGTATATGGCTTGAAGCTTGAAAAATAATAAATAATAAAAAAATGATAGAAATGACAAATAATTATAGACAATGCAGGTGGAGCGTAGAGGCAACCAAGGTTGAAGAAATCTCAGGAAGTTGATCATTTTACACTGTTCAAAAATACAATTACCCGTATCAAATACATTCTAGT